ACGCGGTATTTTCCAGATATTTAGAGGATATCAACTCTCAAACTTATGTTTCTTATTTCAGTTACCATAAACCTATAGTTTCAATGATAAAAATTCCTGAATAACCTACATGTATTGTAAGATAATAAAAATATTTTAAACAATATTAACTTCTCATTTATTCAACAAAAGAAAAAAAATTGTTTTCTTATCGGTCACCACGCTCAAAAAGTGTAACTTGAATTAATATCAAAGAAAAAAATACTGCATAAATAAATAATTATAATTGCATAAGTTGATAGAAAATGCTATGCAATAGCTTTACCGCGGCCGTCCCCGAGTGCCACAAGTATTTTTTTTTTTCATTAGAAACCTGTCAATAATAAAGTGACCATATTTTGAAAAGTAGAAAGGTGGACAAAGCGAAAACATGGAAAATTTTTCGACGAATTCTATTTGCAGCAGTGACGGTTTGGTTCATTGAAGAGCAAAAATATTATAGAGTGCGTTGTGTCACGTCTTCATAAAAATTGTATTTTTAGATTGCTTAAGGGCGGCGTCTGGCCATACCTCGAAAACTGCTTATCTGGACAATTTCGCTTTTTTTTACAAAATCGTTAAAAGAAAATACTTAAAAATAACTTTAACTTTCCGCTGTCACGTGATATACCACATAATAGTTTTCATAAAAAAATCTATATAATTTTAAACCAAGCTTTCAAAAAACTAAACAATATTTTGAAGTGTGATGTGTTTCATTGTTTTTCTGTGTTGGGTTGTAAGTCAATGCGATTATAGATACCAAAAGTCAAAATAATTTTTCGAGTACTTTAAAACAACTCCGTTTGTTAAGAAGGCTTTACAACCTGTAGGCACACTTTATGAACGGTTTTCAGTATTAAAATTAATGCCAGGAAGTATATTTTTCCCGAAAGCTTCGTTTAAAGTCAACCGCGCATATACGGCAGTTTTTATGTGCGAACGTCAACCTTAAATGAAATATTTATATTTTTTGAATCAGACAAAAGCGGTACAAAGTCGGGACACATATTAAATCGGGACTAGAAATAAAACATTTTTTAAACTAACTAGTTTTCAGAAGTTTATTAATTCATTTAACGTTATTGTGATCCGAGCTGTGAATTTCTTGACGCCCGTTGTAGGGATGGGCAAAATAATCGATTTTTTTTATTAATCGAGATAATCGATTATTCAAAGCTAATAGGTCTTTTCATCATGTGATGAGCGCAAGCGCAGCCACCATGTTGAAATAGCGGTAATTCAAATATTTCGTACTGTTTTGATCGACAATTAGAGCAAGCCGTATGTTGTGCAGACTATGGGGTCTATTCTGTAACAATTCCTCTATATTTTAACGGCCATTAAAATATTGGCGGCCTTTAAAAATATTTTCGTATTGGTTAATTTACTTCTGTCATTATTTAAACAGATTTCTTTAAAATGGAAACAAATAATAATTATCTATTCTAATTAATTATGCCAACCAACTATTAGTACTTGCAAAAATACTTTAATTAACATGAAAGTTAGTCACGAGTATAATTAATAAAATACATTATTTAATATTTTGAGGAACAACATGACATTTTTAAACATATTACTGTGTATACCGAAGTAGTATTTAATATTAAAAAAATATTGTGTAATACCAGATAAGAATTTTCTTCTGTTGGACCACTTTCTCCATGAAAATGTAGTAAACAAATATAAGAATCTTTAGTAACATTATCAATCGATCGAAAACCGTTGTCACTTCGACCACATTTTTTCACACCTAATGCACATTTTGAACATGTTTTAATATGGATTTTGCCTGATAATTTTTTACGATATTGCAGCCAAGGCTTTGGAAAATGTATAAAATAATGATTGAATGATTTATACCGTGTGTCACTTTTACATACTTCTTAACAACACCGTTTCGTTTTTTTCCGTACAGATAACATAATAATTCTAACTGATTGCAAAAATGTATTTTTTAATTAAGACGCTAAACTTATTATTACTTTACTTTTTCTTCCTTTTTTTAAATGAATATACTTAAATTAATATTTATCACGTGGTCATTTTAACATGCTTGTTTATAAAAACAGTACGAAAAAGATGGCCGATACTGTCGCATGCGCACAAAAAAAAAAATTGTGATGAAAAGGCCTATTATTATATTCGATTTTGATTAATTAAAATAATGAATGATCGTTTAATCGAATAATTGACTTTAAAGGAAATAAAAAAATTAATAAATTTTCTTTCAATTTAATACAAAATTGTGGGAAACAATTTTCTTTGAAAAATATGTTGAAATTTATAAACAAAACACCCAATCACACTAACCTTTTTTTAAATCTGTTTTTTTTTTATTAATTGGGGTTTGTATCGTGTAGTTAAAAGATTCGTTCGCGGTAACAATCATTTATTGATTCAGAACTAGTACTTTATCCTTTAAGCAAATATCTGATTCATTATCAATTTTCAATTGTTACCGAGAACGCAACCTCTATTATATCTCAGTATTCTAAGTAGAAGTGGGCAAAATAATTTATTATTAATCGATTTTTTATCTTTTTAAATTCTTACCTGCGTTTTTTCTAATCTACAGTCATACAAATTAGTTTTTACGTTGTACCTTTATTATGATGAAAAAAACAATGCATTTCATTTACGGAAAACAAATAATACTGACAATGAGTTATTAAAAATTATTTCACCCTTTTCCAACAATTTTAAAATATTTTAGGCTAATCTAAGCACAGTAGATAGTCTCACTTATGAAGTATCTCTTAAATATTTACTGACCTATAAATCGTTAAAGATATAAACTAAGAGAAAAAGTAAAGTTAGATAATGTGATTTGTCAATCAGACTTTAAATTGTTACTGTGTATAATTCAAATAAATGAGGTTCATTAATATTTTACAGGAAATATTAATTAAATTTCTATATTTAAGGATTTACAGGTGAATAAATTTAAAGATGTGCACTAGGCTATACACTTTATAAGAAAACCGTGCCAGGTTGTTGAACAGATATACCTTACGTGAATTTTTGCAACAACTCACTACCTCATATGCTACTCTACAACATATTTTTGATCACTGTTCAACAGATAGTCGATTATTTCCAATAGTCAACCAAACATGCGTTTTTATTACTGTATATGTTCATTGGCTCTAACCTTTTCCCAAGTTACTATTAAAACAAAGTGTATAGAAAATTATTTTAAGATTGTTGGAGCCTAGGATATAAAAAAGTATATTCGAAGTAATTCAATAAAGCAAAAAGGTAATTTTGCTAAAACTATTAACATTTTTCAAAATCTAATATGGCGAAATGTATGATTTAAATCAAAATTATTTGAATAATTCGTGTTTTATTAAGTTAGCTATTGCTTTTTGCCATAAATAAACAATGATGGAACTTATCGACACCCTTAGAATTGATCCCATTGTGAATATTTTTTTAGATCATTTGTTTACATTGTTTTTCACTAATGGATAGTTCAATATGTACATGTATGGATAATATAAAATTGACAAAATCTGCAACTGTAACTTCAGAGCACAGTAATCACATTTTTAACAATAATTGAAAACTCGAATGCTTTTTCAAGTTTTTTACCTACCTCATTATAATTATTGTAAAAACTTTAATAATCATTATCGTGTATGAATTGAAGACACACGTGGATAAAGGTGTCATGCCACATTTTTTAAAAAATTATTATTATGGCCTAACATACTTAAAATATACTATATTTTTTGTTTAAGATTGTTATTTCGAATTTCTATAAATAACGGCTATTCGTCAGATAGGAAGGTATCCTAATCCATATATCATAACGCAATTGTAAAACTTTGAACTTGTTTTTCTCGGAATAATCTTTTTGTGACATGACACCTTTATTCACTAGTGCCTTCAATTAATAAGTATTGCTACTTACTTTATGAATGAAATGATTGATTAAAATTTTTATACACTTGAACAATATAATGGAGTTTCAGAAGACAAAATGCAAGGGGTAAACCACTAAGGTCAAATCGTACCCGTATTTCGGAAACCACCTAAAACATTTTCGCCGAAAAAATCACTATCAATTGTATACGGTGATTTCGAAAATTTCGAGACAATTTGTAGTGGTTTCAAGTAGAAAACGTACCAGTATTTCGGGAGTGGTTTACCCCTCGAAAAAAATGTAATTGATTTTATAATTTTTTTTGCGATAAATGTTTAATTTTTTAAATAAATAAAAAAAGAACTACCATAATAAATACATCACAAATTCGAATAAAAAAAATTGGTTAAGAATTAATAAATGTATTATTATGTACTTTTAAATACTAATGAGTAGTTTCCAAAATTGGTTTTGCTTAAAAAAAAAATATTTTCTTTGGAAAACTTCAGAAGTCTCTCGAAATTATTGTCCCTCCAAAAACATGATATATTATGATCCCAAAGATTAACTAAATTTATTAAATAAGACAAAAAATTAATTTCTGTTTTCGATGATGTAAAATTTAAAATAATTATGTGAATGTTTGTCCTTCAATAAAGATAACAAAAATGTTTTAATTTTTATTTTTTTTTTGAAATTATGGGTGTAAGATCTCAAAAACGGATTTAGCATTAAATTAAAAAATAAAGTTTTTGGTGTTTACGTTTAAAAAATAATCTACTTTATCTTATTCATAACTAAAATGAACTCGATCCCTATGTTTTTTTTGTGATTTATCTTATAATACAAAACTTTTATCCAAGATGCTAATTAACATGTATTACAAATTTATAGACATCTCTTTTGTAACACCATGTATACGTTATTCTAAAAAATCCAGTGCATATCTTTAATTAAAAAAGAAATTAAATTTAATTTGTATGTTGATACGAATGCTATTAAGAGAAATAATTTTCCAGAATTATATCATTAATGACTGTAAAGTGGTATCTTAATTAAAAAAAAATTAAACAACAAAATTATGATAAAATAATTTATATTATTAAGATTGTATGTAGAAATATGAGTAACAGAAGTGTACAATGCAATAAATAAAGGGCATAGTATGATAAAAAATAAACAATGGTATTATTAGCATCACCTCCTATACTGCAATCCGAAGTTGCCACAATTTAAATTAAGTAAAAAATATTTGTTACTAAATCAAAACTCATTTTTCTACAAGGGCAAATTTCATGTTACAATATCCTTATTCAGAAAGAAGCGCAGCACAACATACAGATTCGCAATAATAAACTAAAAATGAAATTATCCTATTGATGTGCACATTGAATACCTGGCTGCATATGGTCTTCATCGTCACTGGCATAGGCCTCACCTCGGGATGAATGTGAGCCTTTTTCTGCTGGGTCAAAATCGTGTAAATCCACCTCTTCCACATGTTCTCCCATGGGCATCGTAAACGCAGGTCTAGGTGGTAATAAAGTTTCTAGAGCTTTTAGATTAGATTCACTAGTAAAGTGGTTTTCGGGGAATTTAATATTAAAAGATATATATAAGTTTCCTTTTTCAAAGGGATTTTTGAAATGGGGCATACCCTCATTCATCACACATTTTACACCACCTGGTTTTACAACATCGCCAGCGGGTTGTTTCACAAGAATGTCTCTGCCATCCAAATGATGGATAATGAACGAAAAACCACACAAGGCTTCTGTTAGAGAGATAGTATGTTTGACATGTAGATCGTCTCCGTTCCTCTGGAATTTTTCGTGTGGCTTTTGTTGCAGGAGAATCACAACGTCTCCGGGCTCTACGTCAGGTTGTTGATCGCCTTCACCCCTGAACAAGACTTTTTGATTTTCCTTCATACCCTTATCAACATGAACTTCTAGAATTTTAGTCTCATTGCACACTTTCTTGCCCTTGCAGGTAGCGCATTTATCCTTTTCCTTAATAATCTCACCCTCACCTTAAAACAAATGATAATATCAAACATTTTATTAATTTGCAAAAATATATTAATGACCAAAATATGAGGCGCTACCTAAAATATTCGAGAATTTGCTATTAAAAATATACAGTAATCATTTTCACTCTTATCTTTAAAATCTCATTAGGTTTGTTTTTATAAGTATAAAGAGTGATCCACAAAAAATGATTCTAGAGTAGGTCATGACTCATGACTGACAAAAACATGACTGAAATAAATCCAAACTGAGATTTAAAACGAATCATTGAAATCAGACACTGTGTTAAAGAATTATCGCTGAACATACATATAAAAAAAATATTATGACGAATTGAGAACTTCCTCCTTTTTTAAAAATGTTGTCAGTACTTTTGACGGGACCGGTATATCTTTATGTATTTCGACCCACTAAATCCGAATCTGAGGTCCGTTTGACCCGTAGACCGTCAAATTTTCGAGAAAACTTTCAAAAACTGCCGATTTTCGTCATTTTTTTTTTTAGTCTTGCAGTAAAATATAATCTATATTTTTCAACATCTGCTATAAACCTAGAATTTTTATTTATAAGATGTATAATGACCTTGTTTTTTCATTGTTATCGAGTAAAATAAATTATCATATCGTCTTTGCCATTTCATGTACCAGCTAGTTTAACGCATAATGTAGTTTTGATTTTTCACAACATAGAACAAATTAGGGTTATTTTAACCCTTTATCTAGAGTTATGAGCCTTTGTAATAATTAGAACATAATAGGAACCTGTTCTTAAGGTTCATTTTAATAATTTTCAATTTTTTTATTTTATGTTTTTATTGTCGATTATTTAGGTTAAGTATATATGTACTTGTAATATTTAATATTATGTATACCGGGTGTGCAAATTAAAGTGTTACATGTCGCCTTTTATATATATATATATATATATATATATATATATATATATATATATATATATATATATATATATATATATATATATATATATATATATATATATGTATATCCCAGACGTTCTTCCCTCAAAACTATAAATACTGAAGAAGTACTTCCCTCTTATATAACTTACTTCCCTCCGATTTTGGAGGGAACAAGGTTTTGCATTAAATTTCAATTTAATGGACTACTTAACCTCTTTCCTAACCACTGAAGAAAAATTGTCTGGAGGGTCGTTTGTATATTTTTGTCGAGAAAGTGGGCAGTTTAGTTGGAGTTTTGACCGGTGGCGTTGCAATCGTCTTTGTATTTTGGAAATTTCGTTCTATGTTCCCTCCACAAGGTTTTATATAATTTTAATTGAAATAGCGGTTCTTGTTCCCTCCGAAATTCGGCAACACCGCTATTCTATTAGATTCAAGTTAGTTTTAAAGTTACACGTTTAGAGAAATATTTATGTGTGAGGTGAAAATGACTTCGAGGAGCGAATTACTTGTTAAATTAGCTTTTAAAGAAGGTAAGTCGTATCTATTTTTTAATTATTTATATATTAATAATAAGATGCCTGCACGCATGGAAAGTTTTGTTTTGTTTTTAGATAAACATTTGCATGTCGAGTGTTTTGGTTAGGTTACAAATATTTTATTTAAATTCTGTTATTTTTTGTTATTTGTATAATTATTGTCCATTTTTTACTATTAATATGGATTTTACAGAAATAAGATGAAATTTTGATGCAGTTTTGTGTTCAAAGATAAGCATTTTGTATCAATGCATCAACTTATTAACTATACAGAGTAACCTTTAATAGTAAAGAAAAAATACTCTATATGACAAATAGATAGATATAATTACATATTAAAAATTAAAACGTAATTTTAAATTTTAAACAATTTTTCCCAATCATAATTTTTGATATTGTTAGAAATGAAAGCCACACTGTTGCGCTAAATATACTACTTGTCTTCTGGGTAATAGGTTTTTTATACAATTCAGGAATATTTATTTATTTTTTTTGATAACGTATTACTAATAAAGTTGTCGCCAGACTTATGCTAAAATTTTCAATGTTTATAATTTAAAACTACGTTTAAATATGTCTATATCCCTCTATTCTGAAGGAAATACTAAAAATATTTTGTTATATAAATTAAAATAATCACACGTAAAACCAAATGTAAAAAAGTATAGGGTAACCTACTTCCTTTAAAGAACAACTGCTCCATTGGCGAATACCGCAACAGGTATTGAATTATGTACAAAGGAAAAAAACAGATATTGAAATTTAACATTCTACCTTTGATTTTGCTTGTTAAGGAGAAGGTCATTATTGGACCGAGCGGTTTCGTCCTTAAATAGATTTTTCTCAGTTCTAGTCTCTTATGAAATTAACAAGAGCACCAAAATGAACCAATATACTATAAGGCTAGTTACGAAGAGACCAATTATTCACGTGTTGAAAATGGTAATTGCATCTATTCTTAGTAAGCAAAATTAAAGGTCGCTTGCTAGCAAAATGAAAGGTAGAGTGGTGAAATTAACTTTCTATCTTTGTTGTTTTCCTTTGAATTTAATTTAATACGGTATTAGCCAAAGATGAAGTTGTTCTTCAAAGGAAGACGGTAGCCCTATAATTTGTGTCATATGGCTTTGAGTTTGACTATTTTATTTTACGTCTTGTTCACATTTGAGTTGTAATTATTTTCCTATTTTCTTCCGAATACTGTATCTCTAATAAATATGGATTTCTGAATTTTTAACCTGTATATTTTAAACCTGACAGAAGATTTTATAAGAAATATTTATTTTGCTACCGTTTATAGTAAAAAAGTTTATTGAAGAGTTCATTATGAATTTGTCAATTTTTTATGTGTATGTTTTATACTGTTTTTTAAGAAATTGCAGATATTACAAAGGGTAACTTTTTTTTGGTCACACTCATTGATTTAAAATGTCTGTAATTCAGAAGTTCAGATATTTTTATATCTATAATATAAATGCTGTATAAGCGAAAACTGAATTTACTTATATTTTCCTAAAATTTTCCAAACTAACGTGTAATGAAATGTATGTAACGTGGAAATATTATTGCATTGGCAATGTTTTTTTTTTAGTTTGTTCTGGTTTAGACGATTGCAACTCTAGTAAAATCTAAAATCTCTTTATCTTCAGATGACGAAAAACCTAAAGACTTACTTTTTTTCTACAACTGGAGACCATTTAGGATCTACTAACGAGTCGCCTGAACTAAAATCTAACTTCTTAAGTTCTGTTCGTGTTTTTTTTTTTATATCCATTCTGTATTTTTATTAGCACACTTTACGACTTTTTTCTACATACAATAATTTTTGTATACATAAATGTCCATAGCACTTTTCAAACGTATTTTTTATGCAGTCGCTTTTTTTCACTTTTATGATCGGAAACAAAGAAACAAATAATTTTAAAACTTGGACTTTCGCAAAATAAACAAATTTTCGTTTCACGCTAAGCAGTAATTGCTTTTTGCTAGAAACGAAAAAAAATGAATGTCCAAAAATTAAAATTGTTTGTATCAGGGCTGGTATATCTAAGGGGGTCGCGACATAGACCCAGTAAATGGATGAGGGGGTGACTGAGGCTAGGGGGGAAATAGTAGTCAGCTTAAGTTGGCAACACTTTTCTGATGTTCGTTTGAACGAGCATCGTGCATAATAATGTCAATATGGTGCAAGTGGAATGAACCACTGTTTTCCTCGTAGTCCTAGTCCAATGTCGAATTGAAACTAAAAACATTTTGTACTTTTTTATATACCAAATTATGCAATTTGTTTCCACTTTATTTTAATGTTACATGAATAGGTACATGCGTTTGTGCTGTGGTAAATAAGTGTTCATGTGAAAATTATATCTTAAACTACATTGTGACTGCACGCATCTCGAAACTGAATGCTGTAAATCCAGGATTTAAATCTTTTATAGTGTTGCTTGGGATAAATTGTAAAAAAGGTGTTGGACAAAACCATTATTAAAGAGAAATTAGTTATCATCAATAAGATATTTTGTCTCTATAAATAATAAACTTGAAAGACTAAATTAGTAGTCACTTTTACACTAGAAGTAAAAACAAACAAAAATGTGTGGTTGAGACTAATTTGTGTATTTAATAAAAACATATTTAACATAAAAGCAGGTGTTATTTGAAATGTTTTATTTTAGTTTAATAATCTTTATAAATTGTGGGTACATTTGATCCGAATCTTGCAAATACTATAAAATGCATATGATTTTATATGGTTAGTATTGGAGTAGAAGCACAAAAGTTTTGAATAAAAATATATTCTTTAAATACAATGTTCACTAGATATGCTAATTTTCTATTTGAAACCATACATGTTTTCTATTATAGTTTTCATACGTTTATAATCCTGGAGATACTGGAATATTTTGCTTGATTACTAAACTTTGGATGTTTTTGTTGTAGTCTGCTGTTAACACTATTGTCCTGAAAAATTAAAAAAGCTAGACAAAGGTTTGTCCAACTCTTTTGTCAGCTTTGTTAATCTATGCTGTTATTCTGCATGTAGACATTTTTTACTGGAGATTTTCTCTAAGAACTGTATTCAATTTCAAATTTCGGCCAGTTTTAGGAAAGTACCTCTGTTGTAAAGGTATTTCAAAGCCATCCTTTGTGAGATGTAGACAACAAATACATGCTAAAATGTATAGAAAACAAATCGCAAGATATTACACAAAATTATTTAAATTAACTAAAAACATACAAATGAAGTGAATAATACCTACCAACAATTTTAAAAGACCTAAAATAAATAGACTTAAGGGACTGGAGCTCTAAAAAAGGGAGCAATAATTTGTTATGCATCATCTATAAGAAAATTGTCTTCATCTCTTCAATTACCTTTTAAAATAAACAAAACCAAAACAACACAAAATTGAATGTGATCTACTTTTCCCGACGTATTCTATGTACATCTGAGATTAATAATTTATTAAATTGAAATATTTTATCCTAAAAAATATGGGCATTTTATAATGGAAATGTCATTTAAAAAATGACAGATTTTTTT